TTCAGAGTAGTAGCATTGTGAACAACTTAACGATATCGATCCCTAAAAGAGGGTAGCAATGCCGTGACATCATTAATGACTTCGTTTTAAGTCATTATTGAGAAAACATTGGCTCCTTACACCTTCTTGCCAGGATGCACATGCCCCACTTTGAAGAAGTGAAGACATGAACATCATGATTGATCGCAGTTCACACAGCACTTGGGAAATTAAGTCTGCACAACAGTCACTGAGCGCACACTTGACCATTGTTGGTGCGGCACGCCTCGCTTGCGTACGCAGCGTGTTGCAACATATCGTCGTGTGGGTGTTTAATGGAGGCAAGCAGGAATATTATTTGTATTGATAAAGTTCCAAACCAACCCCACCAGGACAGCCAGGGCACTCAAACTTTTCGGAGGCAGATGCCAAATCTCAACTAAATAGATACATCCAGTCCATAAGAACATGATGACAGAGAACCAATCAACGGATATGGTGGGAATCAAACCGCAGTCTAGCCGAGAAGACGTGCCTGTGTAATAATATAATAATATTCTGTCTGTCTCTCCTTTGCTGCTGTTAATATCACCTTCATCACCGCTGACCCCTGCGGCACTCCTGGAGAGTCATCAGACTTTAATTAGACCTTTTTAATCGCTACAATGTAATCTGCAGAGTAAATGGACCCTCCTTTTTTTTCTTACATTCACACATAATTTGCTTCTTTTGATTAACAAAAGCGCTCATTTCTTTCCTCTCAATGAACGTCAATTACGTACCACGTTTTACCTGAACCTCCAAACTCTTCTCTCTTGGAATGACTGTTTCTCATTATTCTTGTTGCAAATACATCAGCTTTGTGAGCCCACATTGTGGTCAAACCCCCACACATCACTTTTTAAGGCATGTGTCAAATTTATTTTTCAGGGTCCCCTACGTAACACCCTTCAGGAACGTGCCCCTGAAATGTTAGTCCCACAAAACCAGTTTCACCCATCGGCATGAATTAGCTTGAACACGTCCATCTTAACAGGACGCACAAGTATTGTACTCAAGTATTTTTAGATTCTAATATCTATACCTCTACTTGAGTAATGAATATTTTGACACCTCTTGAAAGATGTTAAAATATTCTACCTGAGACAACATGTGATATTAGAAACCTGGGTGCATTTAGCAGCCGGCCAGTCAGCAGCTAGTATGCTAGGTAGCAGCTTTCGGCTAACGTGAGCACTGACAACACTACAGCCTGACTCCAAATGAAACACAACCATTCAAAGGGATCATAATTGGCCCAGATTGTTAGCTAGAGGGTAGCAGCTAACGTTAGCCACGGAACGCGCTACAGCTTCACTCCGCTTGACCGTAAATAAATCCCAACAGATGACAACACATTTAGTCAGCTGGCTAGCAGAAGGAAGGTGACATAAACAGTTGCCTTCATTGTCTCGTCATATCCTAATGTGGAAACACGTAGCAGTGTTATTCATTTCAGCCTATTTTTGAGAATGAAGACACATCCAAAGGGACTTCCGCATCAATTACAATCATTGCAATGTGATTTTGCACAGGTGGCGATTCAGAAGCAAACAGTATTGCAATGTCAGCACGCTTTTGACTCGGCATTAGAATAAACTAATAGGAAAAACAGACTGACTGTACTTGTTAAAAGGAGGACTCACACATAGTGTGAATTTCAAATCAAGAATACGAACTCCATTCCCCCGCCCTACCGCCGCGGCACCTCTTGAGAGCAGCCAGTATCAAACCGCATACATCTGCGTCGCTCAGAACCATTTCTGACTACATTAAACGCGGCGGTGCTCTTTTAAAAAATAAAAAGGACACGTTTGACAGTGTTGATGATGTTAAAGTTGAAAGACGCTTTGAGCCGCGGATCCTCCTGGTGGGTTCATTGCAGTCACTCAGGCACATTTTAATGGGGATGCGACGGCGACTCTGCGTGAGTCATCTAAGAGCTATCACGTTAACATTAAGGACTTTGAGAAGAAGTTTCAGCTTCTACAGGTATGACCAGCACTACTTTTAGACCAGAAAAGGTTTCGCCAGTGTCCTACATTAAGACTTTTTGGGAGGTGGTCCAGGCAGGCCAGGTTAAGCCATGTTATGGTTACCCTGCTCGAACGGACACTGGCCCTGTATATTCATGATACAATACAATAAGTTTCAACGATGATTACATTCTTTCTACTTAATTATTCATGACGTGAAGAAAACAGTACTTCTGCGTGGTTACTTTTTTGCATGCTATTTTCTTTAAGTGGAGGTAATACATTCTAACTTAACATTTAACATTTGACATATTCTGGAATTTATATCTTGTTTAACTCATTCCTTTTTGAAGGATTCAACCTGACGGGCAAAAACAAATCTAAGTAGAAAAAATTCCAGTTATTGAACAAATGAAAATGAAAAACAAGAATGTATTGATTACATCATACTTTGTTATGAAATTTGTACTGGCCCGGTGAGACAAGTGTCAGTGGACTTCGGGTGGCCCGAAAGTTGCAGAATGGCCCGGGCTACAACATTTTTAGTTCCAAACAAGTTTCAGATACGTCGCCACAGTTGTTACAAGCAAGATCATCAGGGAAAACACAAGTTGTTTTTTTTTTTCTTTCTTTCTTTCCCAAAGGCTGCCATGCAGGTGCTACTAGGCCCACAGGGACACTTTGACACTGGACAGTTGGGACTCAAACCGCTGTCACCATTTTAGTCACTGAACAAGCCACTCTACAACCGAGCCGCAACCACCCAGCAAGACCAACATGCTGATGTTGCCCTGCTGGTAACACACTGCGTCACCAGCTTCCGCCAACAGTGTTACACCAATATCAACTGTTCTAAACAGCAGCATTGGAGTCTTTTAAGGCAAGCTCCCACTCTCCAGTGAAGCCCACCACAGGGGTTAAATATCAAGCAGCAACTTGGAAAACAGCAAAAATATACAGAAAATGGATAAAGGGAGGCAGGCAGGTAAATAAATACATAAAATTGCCTAAATCAAATGATTGTCAAACTTTCTGGTTCCAGGGATCCTTTACAGTGGATTTTGTTTTTCCAAGACCCCTCCCCGGATAGTCCTTACACCAATTAAGCATAAATACCATGTGTACCCATTTGTTTTCAAGCGACTGCAACCATGTTGCATAAGTGGTGTTCTGTGGAGAGCACATGCATAGCGCGTATGATGCTCTCTAAACCGCAGCATTGTTGATGACCTTTTATGGCGCGACGAGAAGTAGTGGACGGTCTTTGAGATTTAAAAAAAAAAGGTTCCCAGTAAGAATGTTTCTTCAGAGAAAGCATAATGTGATTATATTAAGCGATAAGCACTCATTGACGCTCACAGAATTTAAAATTTCTACTTTCATTCAACCTTAATCAACTGTCCACACAAATGTTTTTATTTTACATTACCACCCTTATATTCATACATTGCACTTTAAAAAAAAAACTTTAAACGCTCTTTAATCTCTTAACTGTGACACAAGTGTAAAATGACTTGTGAAAAATATGTGCCTTGATGCAATAAAGGTTGGGAATCATTGTTTGAAGCTAATAGCGAGGAGTTCACTGTATCGAATGAAACGGCCCCATGTGAGATAACAATTCACCTGCCTTTCAACTTTGGCTGGGGCCTTGGCTCACTTGTGAGTTTTGAAATAACATCGTTATATGTATGCAAAGCAGTGATAGGACTTTATTACAACAAACATTGAGCAATAAAATCCAGTAAGGTCTGCCTGATAACCACTACTGCTCCTTTATACAGCAATTATGTTCTGTAAATCATCCCATTGCACTGCTACACTAGTGTAAATTCTGCATGCATTTTTCCTCCAATTATTGTAATTTGGGGTCAATTTTTGTTTTATTTATTTATTTATTTATTTTATAAATTACCGGACGAACACTGATCCTAGCCAAAGCTTGTTCATGACATGTACATGCTTTATATGCTGTATTAACTGTACATGCTAATTCATGTTTAGTCAATGCATGATCACGTACCACTTGTGAGATACCGCAGAGTAGTATAGTTAAGTTGCATTAAACTTTTTAGTACATTGTCATTTCATCTTGAAGAACACTTTTAAAACTTTTATTTAGATTCAATTTTTATTTAAATTCTAAGTGCAATAATATTTTTATATAATTATTTCTGCACAGTGTTAATGTTCAAACTGCACGTTACAATACAATAACATGAAGTATATTTTGAAGGGATAAAACCACACTTGTTTCTTGATGGATGCTTAATAATGTTAATTAGTACAGAGATAATTTTCAAAAGGTTCAGGACTACTTTTCGACTAATGTAGTCTATATTGGCTGAGAAAGCCTGCTTTAAAATAATAATAAACTGTAATTTAACTGTACACAACTAATAATACTAATTCTGAAACTGGCAATAATCACGAAAAATAAACACATTCAAAGCCCCTGTGGCAGTTTGACGAATCTGCGTCTTAAACTCAAGGGCTGGATTTACTTCAAAGGGCTAACAAACTGCTAGCAAGCTCGTTTTGCTCTTGTGATTTTTCTCCCCCACATAAAAGTCGAAATTTTCGAGACATTTTTACTCTCCGTGGCTCATAGTTCCGTCTTCCGCATTGTCGAGCAGCCCGCCACTCAGCTAAAAACAGACACAAGCAGAGTAAGAGACGCTCAAAGTTTTGACGAAAAAAAACTTTCCCCAGCTTCCCTTGGTGTCTTTTCGTTAGCTAGTGACTAGCTAGAGTCAGCCCGGCTCGTCATGCTAGTTAGGCAAGTACTGGAGTGTTAACCCCAGGTGCCCACGCCCTCCCCCCACCAGTCATCCAAGTCCGAATCTCGGTCACACTCTCGCATTCTTACCGCTGCTAAAACGAAGACCCAAAGATTATGCAGCTTCTCCTCGCACTCGAGCTGTCGCCATCGTACGTCAAACATTTCCTAAAACCTCGCGTCAAGCTGAACGCAACCGCGCCCGGTTTCGGCTCGGTTCGTCTTACCTTTTTTTTTTCGAACTTTCGAGGAAATCAAAAAGATAGGAAGAGGGTCAGAATAGCCAGGAAAAAAAACAGCCCAAACTTCTTGATCCTCAATTATGGGAGAGTTTTGTGGGCAGTGACGTCACTCGGTGAAATTCCAAGCCGAGGTTTGCCCATGTAAGGCAGCAGGCCAGCGGGGACATCAGCCGGGACACCCCACTCAGACGCACCGTCACCCGGCCTGCGCAGAGCCGACGCCCTCTTTGCTTAGGTGGAAGTATGTTTGCCTCGATAGAAAAAAAAAATCAAATTAATGACAGTAGTGTTAAACGTTTTCACCAATTACGACGTTTAAAAAAAACTGTCCAAGTTCCATTATGAGCAACATTAAAATAGAGTACTGTTTATCCAAAACAAGGCAGAGGTTGTATTTCGAAGCTATATTTTGGTCAATTGAGGGCGCTACAGGGCACTGCCCCACCGCACACACGGTGGTATGTTCACCACATTACTTTTCTTGAAGACTAAAAAAAGGAATGAAAATGTTCGTAGATAAATAGAAATAGTTTGAAACATATGTATTTCTATCTTTACGTGAGCAGGAAACGGTCCGGCCAACTCACCAAAGCGACGGGCTCACAAACAGACAAATGGTTGGTTGTTTAGTTGATTGGTTTTCTACTTAACTCTAATAAACAGACTAAAACAGACACAAAAGTGAATTTCAAAATTCCAACACAGAAAAAAAGAGAATAAAGTGTTATCTTTTAGAGGGGGAAAAAAATCAGATTTGAGTGAGAAAACAAATTCTATCTCATCTCGGGATTATATCACAAGATTCAGAGATTCAAGTCTAAATAAAAAAAAAGAAAGCCATGTTATTCATGAGGGAATTTTGAAATTGCCTCTCACACACACACACACACACACACACACACACACACACACACACACTAAAAAGAAAAATAATGTTTGTTATGTTTTAGAGAAAAACACATGGAAAAGTCCCAATACCATGAACAACTAAGGCGGATTTCAAAATGCCCACACTAAATGAAGCAGACATCTTTCATACTTGACCTAACTTATAATAATTTTGTGCAAGTGTTAGTGCTTGATTTTTTTTAATGGATGTCTCGAAGATAACTGTGTTTTCAAGCTACTAAATGACATAAAAACATCCAAAATGGGGTTGGTTTGTTTGTTTTTTTTCTCGATTTTAGGGGACATGTCCTCCGCTTTAAATGTTTATGGGTGTATATGTCCGTTTAGATTCCCCATTCATGAGTTCATGCAAATAAACGCTAACTTCTTCCCCCTCTGCTCATCTTGATAGTTCAGTGTCTTACAATGCTGACATTGTGTTGTGTACCTAAAAACATGCAAATACACATTGATGCTATCTTTTATGAAAACCAGCGCCGAACGTTTCCAAGGGAATTTACGGCCTGTCACGGCCTTAACACGACAACGGGCAAAATCGTCTTGTCACGCTACTGCATCTGATCGCATTGTGCTGCCAGCGGTAGTATATTCTCATGTTGTTTCTTTTTTTTTTTCCCGATCAGGAAGCATAAACAGCACACATGGATCGAGCACGCTGATAACAAACCAAAAGGATTTTGGCTATTTTGGCGTCCGCCGGTCGCTTAAGCTAATCTCATTTGTAACGTGTAACGTTTTAGTTCCTAATTTCCTAAAGGGCCCACCACCACCAGCAAAGCCGATTTCAAACAGACACCCCGCAACAAGAAGTCAAGTTAGCAATCAAAGAGCAATTAGCATGCTGTGTTAGAAGACGTTGGGAGCTTTGATGTCTCCCCTCTCCTTGCCGTTCAATTTCACACTTGAATGGGGGTGGGAGGTTGGAGTTACGCTCTCAGGGTCCACCACCACAGATAAGTCGCGCTACAGATCATTTCTTTTATCGCAACGTGACAATTTTAGCAATGAGCCGGAGAGAATAACTTGTTTTAGCATCCGATATCCTGTTGCCGATATACAGTATATTATTACCCTACGCATAGTTGCCTAAGTAGTGTTAAGACGTTTTTGGATGCCCCCCCCCAGCCCCCTTAAATAAAGGTTTGAAAAAAAAAATAGCAAACACATTTTTATTTCATATTCGTTTGGTCACTCTAAGTTAGAAATGACTTCGGCAGCTATGCTACTAAGCTAACAAGCTAACTTTATTTTGGAATAAAATATAATATATATTATATTTTATGTCAAGTATAAAAATTAAAAAAAAAAAAGCCAACGTGCAAGATTTTACTCGAGAACACGGACTCCAAATGCAGCAAAACAGCCACAACCAGGCAGAACGGGTGCAACAAAGAGGTCAAACAGCTTCCGAAAACAGACATGTGCGCACAACACCATTGTGGAGTGACCGCATGTCAAATCCTACTGGAAAAGGCAACTACTATGTAGAAATGTAGTGAAATTTCAAGAAACGATACAGACCGAGTCATGTAGTGTAGCGTAGTTTCACAGAACATAAAAATGAATGCACATCACACTGTGAACCTATAAAACGACCATATCCATATATCACGTCGTACTGGAAGAAAGAGACTATCAAGGAGAATGCAGAGAAAAGATAAGGAGACAGACAAAGTGGAACAAATAAGTGATGGAGAGTTCACATGCCATGTCGACGACACAATGATGACTATCATCATGACACAGACAAAGGGAGCCACCACGTCGTCAGTGTCTCCTGGAATGCTAATCGTCGCGAAAGACATCGCGTTGGCGCTGCTGTTTTAGTTGGCAACGGGATTCAGCAATTAGCTCAGCGTTAATCTTTTTTTGAGGGTGATAGCATTATTTTAAGTGAAGTTATTTCAAGTGGATGTCGAGACTGACTCGAAGCAGATTAGCTACTTCAAAAGGGAAAGGCCGAGAATCTCCATCGTCGAGTTTGTGGAAGAGATGTTCCCACAGGTATGTATAAAATGAAGATTGGATTGCCATTGAGTCATTTAGCAAAACGTAGCGGCTAGCTAATGCTAGCTCAACAGCGCGCTGTCCATTTTGGCGTAAAGATGCTGAATTTCCACCACATTTATATTGTTAAGCAACTTTATCAGTTGAACTGTACATTACGACTGGCAATGGATTTTTTTTTTTCATTTCAGAGATAGCTTGACGTTTTGCCATCCGGAAGTAGGCAGGACATCATGGTGGAAAGGTCTATATGAGAAAGAAGCCTTTATTTGTCTTGAATTGACATTGGCAGAGAAATGAAGTCAACATTTCAATTTGTTCCACGTTGCATATCCTGTTTGACTCGCAGGTTGTAGTGCTGCCCACACACACACACACACACACACACACACACACACACACACACACACACACACACACACACACACACACACACACACACACCACTTCCCCCCTGAGATGAATAAACCTCAAACTTAGAAGACAGCAGCTGCAGTCCTCACTTCCTCTTTCAACGTCTGATTGAATGCTCGCATTTCAAACCCTCCCACAAAATAACACATGCTCACTTCCGCCAAATCAACAGTCTCCAGGAATCGGAGGTGGGCGATTCGATTCACATGACTTGATTTGAACCCAAGTTAACCCTGACATATTTCTCAGTTTCCATGCATGCATCGTATGTTTGAGGCAGGCCAAAAATATCCTCACCATAATTGTCTGTTTCAATTGATGAACTGAAGATCTTTCCAAAATCTATTGTTAGCCTGTCTGATATGACTAACCATATACTGTCCATGACTTGGACTCATTCAGCATAATGGAGCACAGCCTTTCAGAAAAAAAAGAACATCATACCAACAGTCAAACATGCTGGTGATGGGCTGCGGCTGCTGTCTACTCCAGGACCTGGTTGATGTGATTTCTGTTTGATGGTGGTGCAACCAGTTCTTACATTTAGGGGGCAAGTACATTTTTATCCAGGGTCGTGATCTGGAAAGCAACTAGGATAACCTTAGTAATTTTGAGCTAAAAACAGAATAACATTGTTTTCTTGCAAAAAATTACCTAGAGACTTGGGAATTCAAATTGAGTATGTGGACAGACACATATCTTTATTGAGAGCCACATAGCGATATCCAGAGCCTGCATTATCTGGTTTAATTTCAGCATTTTGAAACAGACCCCAAAAAAACTGTTAGCGGAAGAAAAATATCGGTTAAAAAAATTATAATGCAACCCGCATGAAAGCGTTAGACCGTTAGTCTCTGCTGTGCTCTCATTGATCAGTCTGTGTTTTTTTCGGGGGCGTGGCCTAGTGACAGGTCAATCCTGACTCACATCTGACTCACAAGAGGATTCTAATGATGTTTTTTTTTTTTTTTTTCATGTTGATTTGCAGGGAACGGCAGCAGGCCGAGAAAAACAAGACTTTTATAACAGGCAGGAACAACAAGCGTGTCAGGGAAGCGCATACGCCGCCTTAATTAAGAGTGTAGATAGCGCAGATTAGTCTGCAAGCACAGCAGCCACGTTAGCAGGAGAGTCACGCCAAATAAGGAGCCGACAAAAGTAGGCAGCAAGCAGACAGAGTGAGGGCAAAAAAAAAAAAAAAAACAATGTCCCAAAGCCACTCATCAAACAAGTCGGCGTCTTGATGGAGACCCCAGATTGCGCTAATGAATTCTAATTCTTGTGTTTGAGCATGTCAATCGAACAATCCCCGCCCGGAGCTAGCGCATTCGTTAAACGTGTATGTGGGAGAGTTATGCAGCAAAACCTTCAAAGCGCTCACAGTTTTGTCATTGTTGCCCTGAATTTGGTTGTGTTGATGCACCGTGAAAAAACATACAGACATGTTTGAAAGCCGACACTTTCAGTGACTGTGCGGTGAGGAATTTTTTTTTTTCCCCTCAACATTTTCGTAGAAATATACACACTGAAGCGGAATGAAATCATTGTTTGCATTCAATATCCCAAATTTCATTCGGGATATTGAATTTCAGTCACGCGAAATATCACAGTGAATTCAAAACGGAACCAAAACTTTTCTGAAATTTAAAATGGAAATCCATTGGAGATAGGAAGTTTTATGTTTTAGAGAGGGATTTCAAAATTCAACCAAATATTTTCGTGGAAGTCGCACATGATTTCAAAACTTTGAAATCAAATTTGACAAAACTGAAAATGGTGTTGGACAAATGTTTTTTCTTTTTTCTTTTTTTTTTTGCTAGCTGTTTTTGTAAAAGTCCCACCAAACGTCTGAGGGATTTCAAAATTTGACCGAAATTTTCACAAAAAATCATATGACATTTCTACGCGGCTTCATAACTATTGGTTAAATTTTGAAGTCCCCATTTTTTTCCCTTTTTTGTAAAACTTGTACCGGTGAATCAGACAATCCCCACCCAGAGCTAATGTGTTAGTTCAACGTGTTTATGAGCACATCAGTCTTGTAATTTTTGCCCTGATTTCTTCCCTTAAGAAAGGCAGAAGCAGATCAACGTCAGATCTTCTGTCGGGTTACTTTTGCCGGATCACTGTAAAAACCTTTATTCACTTCACAGAAAGCGTTTGACTACAACACATCATAGCGCCCCCTGCTATTCTCATGACGAGTCTCCCCCGCGAGGGCATAAATAAATACATCAGTCCTCCGTGACCTCACACCATGGAGCATCTCCCATTTCATCCTTCTTTGAAAGAATCCTCCTCCGGATGCCCCTTTTTCATTCCTTTGAAACGACATCAGATGACAGCGTAATCCTGCCATTATTATCGACATCAAAAAAACAACAACAAAAAAAATGCGGCAGGCTAGCTTGCGAGCTAGCGGGCGGCCGCGCGTCGCCTGTGTAACGGGATGATATGGATTACGCCGGGACAACCGACCTTGCCCTCCCGCTTGTTTTTTTGTGAATTTATTTATTTATTTTTGATGCCTGCCAGTGGCACTGCAGCACTCGGGCCAATAAAAAGCCAAATAGCCCGCCTGATGATTAAGGTCATTCGTGTAAGCCTCAAACAGCGTCAAAGGGGGGGTTGTGATGCGTAGATTTTGTTGTGGTGTCCTCTTCCGAAGGTCTTTCTGATCCCGGTTTTCTGAGTATTGGTAGATGGCTAAATGTTTTTTTTTTGTACACACACACCTAACCCTTATGTTGACATTTTATATAAATGCCACCGAGAGGAAAACGTCGGTGTGAAGAATATCTTGGAACGTTCTGTGTATTGGTCAATGGGTTTCGTGTAAAAAGCGAACAAACATTTTATCGGGAAAACCAGCAATTTTTTGCAACTTCTTCCCTTTGCAGGGTGGAAAATGTACTTTCTGAAGTAACATAGGAGGGGAAAAACAAGTTTTCCTGACCTGTCGTTGGCCTTCAAGTGTTTTTTTTTTTTTTACACACACACCTAACCCCTATGTTGATGTTTTATATAAATGCCACCGAGAGGAAAACGTCAGTGTGAAAAATATCTTGGAACGTTCTGTGTATTGGTCGATGGGTTTCGTGTAAAAAGCGAACAAACATTTTTTCGGGAAAACCAGCAATTTTTTGCAACTTGTTCCCTTTGCAGGGTGGAAAATGTACTTTCTGAAGTAACATAGGAGGGGAAAAACAAGTTTTCCTGACCTGTCGTTGGCCTTCAAGTGTGCGTCCCAACCATGGGAAAAGGTTTTAATCTGCCACGTTTATCCCGGGATGACTAGAGATCTGACAGCGAATTTTCCCGCCAACATCCCCCAAGGGCTCAGCTTGGTTAGGCCCTACGCAGTGATGAAAATGTGTTGGACTAATTTGTCTTAAAACGGGATTGGCCTCATATTAGTCCACTCATCCATCAGATTATCCCTCGCTGGACGGTAGCGTTCTCTCTAATGTCTTCTCTCTGGGTGAGATTATCCGCGCAGGCAATGGCGTCGGTTCAAAAATCAGGTGTCAACCACGTCATGTTAACGAGCAATGGTCACATTAAAGTGACATGAACGACAAAATGACTCAGAGACACCCTCTGAGTTCAATGAGTGTAAACCAGCGTACCCAGGACCCAACCAAACTTGCCCATTTCTTCTTAGGTTGGTCAGCTAGCCACTTATTCTCAGATGGACCAACATAGTAACAAACGGACGAACGGCCCAAATTCAGCAGCTACCTTCCCGAGATATGCATTTGTTGGGCATTTTTCTCATTAGTTTTAACTCAATTCAAATGTGTTTAACTTAACTAGCTAACTGAACAAAGTAACCAATACAAGGGCTAATGGACTAGTCAACCAGCGTACCCAGGAACCAACCAAACTTGCCCATTTCTTCTTAGGTTGGTCAGCTAGCCACTTATTCTCAGATGGACCAATATAGTAAAAAACGGACGAATGGCTCAATTCAGCAGCTACTTTTCCGAGATATAACACTATTGCGATTCTGCCTTTTCTTCTCAACGCATTTCTTCCTCAACTGCGAGACGAATTCGGTTTTTGTGGGCGTAACCTTACCAGGTTGAAGACGCGACATCTGGCGTGATGTAATAACGCAATAGCCCTCCTTCCCTTTCCCCCGCTGCGGTCAAGTTATAAAGAGCAATATCTGCTTCCCCAGATTGAGCCGAGTTTAGCTAGATTAATGCACTCAAATGTTTGTTGTATAAAAGCAGTGTTTATCAAACAATGTGTCTCTATGGCAGATGGCTCATCATCTCTGGACGCTCGCTCGCTCGCTCGCTCGCTGTGCTAAAGGCACAGCTAGTCTGTGTGTGTCCTAATGGGATTGGAGACTTCTTCTTTCCAATGAATTATATGTAGAACAAGTGGGATTAATTTAATCTCTTTTCTGCCCCTCCCTGACCACCCCCCCCCTCAAAAAAAAATCTGAGCTTGTAACATTCACAGGAAAGCCAAGCAAGTGAGCACGACAATCTCTAGCTCGTATTTTTCAGAGAATTTTTTTGCATCCCGCCACTGTGGAGGACGTGAAGACTGATTTGTCCTTCTCGCGTCTCCACATTTAGGAGAAGTCAAGTAAAGGTTCTTACCATCGATAGTTGGATTCATTCAAGATCAAAGACCGTATTTCCCAGCATGCCTCCCTCCCTGCAGAGGAAAAAAGGTGAGGTCTGAAAAGGTATGAAAATTTGTTCGTCGGTTGACGACCAACCAATCAACCAACAAGCTGACTGTACGACCAACTGATCAGCTGATCAGCACACTTTGTCTGTTTGTTAATTGGTCGGTCATTCGGTCAGAAAAGATTTAGAAAGATTCAGTCTCCCAGCCCATCGGTTGTTTGATTTGAACTAATCGAGTAAACAAGTGGACGAGCCAACCAACTAACAAGTGGATTAGCCAACCAGCTAAATAGATAACCAACTAGCTTAATTTGTTGTCAGTGGATTGGTTAATTGGTCAGCCAGTCTTTTTGTTTAGTGTTTTTTTTTTTTTTGTAGAGGGGGACATTGGTTGGTTTATTCCCTTTTTAGTTTAACACCAAATTAAATAACTACCTGACGAACTAACCAATTAACTATGTCAGTCTGCTGTTGGTTGGTTGGTTTTTTCTAACTAACTCATCAACACTGGCAAACTGACAGACCAACTCATGAACCAAGTTTTCCCATTCGCCCATTTGTTAGTTAGTTGGTTAGTTAGTTGTCATGACCAACTAACCCATTAACAGACTGTCTGTCAATACGTTCGATAGTGGGTATGTCAGTTGGGCAGCCATTTGGTTGGTTTGTTAGGTCGGCTGGTCATTTGATACGTTTGATAGTGTTAAATCCCGAATTAACCGACCCACCCAAATATGCAACAAATAGACCAATAGACAGCTCGACTTGACAACTAACCAACTACCTTACCAACGAACCTGCTTTAATCTGTCTGTTTATTACTCGGCTGATCAGTCTTGTTGGTTAAGTTGTTAGCTTTTTTTTTTTTCCTCATCGTTTGTTTTTTTCCAATTCGATTTAACGCACTCACTAATCTGTGTTGCTGCGAGCCCATGGAACTGCGCAAGTTTGAACGAGCAAAATAATGAAAGTAACAGGAACGTATCAACCAGTAAAATGCGATATGAGAGGGCCATAAGTCAGCATTAAGGATCATGCAAAGCGTCTGCACAACCGACAGCTGATAGTCAAATGGGAACGAATGAAGACAAGCAGCGACTTGTCAAAAATAACATTTCACAACGTAATAACAAGACTGACTTGTTTCATTCCTAAAAACTCCATGTAACATTCCTCTAACATTTTCCATCGCTCAAACAGTAACACTGCGCTGAAATAGAGGAAAATCAAAAGTTACCTAAATAAGGATTACATTAAAATGTATTGCACGTGAAAGTCTAAAACTTTAATCCATTGTTACATTGTGTGCCCTTTGAACATGAGCACTTATATACAGAAACGTTTCCAAAACATGTACTGAAATAAGTACCTTGAGTGGTACGTGCGGCGCACTTTGACAATCGCTACATTAGATAATTCGGGATGTCGAGCGGACATATGCACGCATCATCTCCATATCGGTGGAGAGGGGTTTAGGGATTGAGCTGATCCCGCTCAATCCCCCGAGTGTGCTCACGTTGGGGATTGAAATCTAGTAATGTACTCGACAATCATTCCTTCTGCAGGGGACAATACGCCGTTATGCTAATGAATGTCCAAAGACACCTTTGCGGTTTCATTGGGATTGCGCAGACCACGACCTTTTTAGCATCCCTGAAGTTGAGTTGCGAGCTTAGTCGGAGATTGAATTGAATTGGTTAATCGCGGTAGCAACCGTATATTAATGATCGGCGATTTAAATGAAGATGGGGTCAGAATTTTTCATCAGCACGATTGGGGGTGGGGTACACACATCATGCTAGCTAAATGTGTGATAAAATGACTTTTTTAAATATGGATAAAAGACGGCTATATGTCTGTCTTTGTCTATTTTTTCAGTGCAAGGGGTTCTCGTGCATGAGTATTACATTCAAGGATGGCATAAAACTGCTGAACAGCTCATCAACAGTTTTTCGCTATTCGCGGAGGATAAGGATCAGGCTAGCCCGGTCGACTGCATTACCATGGACAGGTGTGAGTTCATTGAGGTAGTTAGTTCGTTATTTCGTTTGTTTGTGAGTAAGTTTGTACATTAGTTTGTCAGCCAGTTCATTCATTTTTCATTGGATTATTTTAGTTTCGTTCGTTTGTGCGTCAGTTTTGTTTGTTTGTCTTGGTCGGTTCGTTCTTGATAACTAACTTGTTAACGGAGTCGATAACCAACCAACTAACCAACCAACCGAGTCCATGACTCTGTTTGTGAGTTGGTCAGTCTGGTCAGTTGGCCTGGCTGTTGGTTAATTTGATTTCCTAACCCTAATTGAGTTTGCTATCCCCTCTGTCTGATTTTTAGTTAGTTAGTTAGTTCCTTCATTTGCACTCTTTTATTATGTTCATTTGAAATGAGTTATTCTCTAAGTCCGTTGGTTTTTTTGTTCATCAGCAAGCCTTAAATTTAGCTTTTTTTTGTGTGTGTTTGTTAGTTCATTAGATTCCGAGTTAGGTCGTTTTGGCCTTTATCGGGCTTTTGTATTTGAATGTCACAACTGTCAGAGTTGAACAAGAATTTAGAATGCTCAAAATATTCTGCATAAACATACAGCAGTAGCAGTTTCTCTTTCTATTGTTTCCTCCAGGGCAAACGATTGATGTTTCATTGAGTTTTTGTTTTTTGGGGTTTTTTTTTTTGTTCCTGGCATGCCCAAACGCATACCTGAACCATGATATGAGGAAGTTTGGTGAAAGTGGGCAGGGTTTGATTTCCAACTGGCAAAGAAATAAAAGGTAATTGTTTGACCTTTCCAAAGATTTATCCTTAAGGGGGCATCCCAACCCAGCGAGGAGGCTCACCATGTGGAAAATTCCCACTTTGCAGACCACATTCCTGCCGAGCGCAAAAATACTTGATTCCACATGCTTTGTATTCCCGAAAATTGGAATAAAGGCAAAGCAGTGCCAAACCACGCCCTTATTTTGACTTCTCTAACCTTAGTGGTTCAAGTTTATTTAAAAAAATTAAAGACAGCAATAAAATTGCGGCACAGAAAAGCTTACATGTGGCACCGCAGAATTTAGGAAAAAAAAATACTGAAATAATTCTTGCTTGCAATTAATTCTCATTTAAGATCATGATTTGTGGACATCTGCGGTGGCCTGCCGGGGCCTTTAAAAAAAAAAGAAGCAAAAAAAAAAAAGTGAAAGTTAACAAAAAGAGTTTGAAAAGAAAAAAGAAGAAGAAAGAGGAGGAGGAGTAGCTGTGCCGCTAACAGCTTCAACATCTCCGTGTGTGTTTGGGTGTTACAGCCATGTTGCATCATGCCGCTCAGAACAAAAAAAAAACTCTTTGCTGACAATGAACGCTCAAGTCGGCACAATTTTGCTGCGAAAACCTCAGACAAAAGTGAATCACTTTGCGAGTGAGGCAACCTCCGGGCCTCGGGCCTTTGTCACCCACCGTCCGTGTACAAAAAAAAAAATAGTAGCCGGACTTTTTACGCAATTTTTCCTTCTGGTTGACACGGCCTTCAGAGGGAGTTCAGTCGTGTGTAAGAGAATAGCGGGAACGCCGGGACAAAGGTGTAACGTTTAACACTGTCTGACCTTGTTGCGTCGAAAGCAATTGCGAACATCCAACAACTATTTTACATGTCTATAAAATAAAATAAAATAATAATACATGTGAGTAGGGGAATAGTGTAACGCGGGAACAAAGGTGTAAGTTGACACTTACTTCTCCAATTGCGTTGAAAGTCTGATTTGAAACGTCACAACTCGAGCTCGGACTAGAAATCTGGATCATATGTTGACGAGGCTGAATGTAGCCTAGCGCGTTAATGATGCGTATCAAGAAACAGAAAAGGTTAACCTTTTGAGTTTAAAATAACTTCCTTTAACCTCCAGGATCTCACCTCGAACTCGGGGCAATGGCAGAACGTTTTTTTTCTTTTTGGTCCCATTTTAAATCCACCAATGTTGCTAGTAGCCTCGTCCTAGCTAGCGCTATGCTACTTCGTTTCTCAGGTTTGCCTTACGAGTTTGGAAACTCCCTTTTGTTTGGTGCTAGCACGGAATTAGTTTGCTAACAGCTGAGGCGAATATTCCCGTTGCTAGGAGAGCGTTAGCCATATCCGGTCAACAGCAAGGTTAGCCGGTCAAATATTCCCATAGGCTAGCGGCTGTACTTCAGGGCATTCGCTGAAATGTAGCATGTACAGTATGTAGCTTTTACGCATGTGCACTCCTCACGTAGATCAGGCAGATAGACAAAGAAAAACGGGATGTGCCAGGCAAACATTCCTAGGCTTAGAAGGCTGGGAATTTTCCGCTATTTTTCCGTGTTGCTGTTCTTTCACCAACACTAAATGTTGGTGATGACGCCGCCGTCAATTTCCTACTTTTCATTGGTTTTACCCGTTTTCCAGCTAAAAGCCATGGCAAGAAACATCCCTTGAAAGTGTTTTTTTTTTTCGCATCTCGATGACGATGCGGTACAGAAGAGCGCCAACAACAACACTGATTCCAAAAGTTTTGATTTTATCGAAACTGTTTTTTATGAGCTCCCACCGTCTGGGGTAGATATTTTTTTTAAATCCATTTCCAACTAATAAGCGTAGCAGTAAATGTCCCTTGAAGATACTTTTTCACATCTTTCCAATGAAGTGGTGTGGAAGAAGAGTGCAGAACATAACATTGTTACGTACCAAATGTTTTCTCCTGCCTTCTGACGTCGTTTTTTTTTTAATTCACTTCAAAGCTAAAAACCGCGGGAGTAAATATCGCTTGAAAATGTTTTTTGTGGTACAAAAAAAAAAGAGTGCTGACACTAATGGCAAAATATTTTTTTTCTTTTTATGTGGAAAAAAATGAATTTAAGTAAAAATTCCGTGTGGTCATTTTTCCCGCTGTTTTTGTCAGTTCACAGCTGGGAAACATCGCTTGAAAGTGATTTTATGCATCTTGTCGAGGAATAAGATAAAGAGTCCAAATAACAAAACCAATTTTTTTTAAAACCCTGAACACAAACAAAACATTGGTGGTTTCCTCCCTTATAGGATACTTAGTTTTGTAGTTTTCATATTTCCAGCTAATAAGCTGTCACCGTAAACGTTTAAGGGTTTAGGCATCTTGGCGATAAAGTCGAGTACAAGAACAAGAACAGCGCAATCGACGACACCGATACAAACTTTTTTTTTTTAATTACAAAGAATTTTTGTACATCTCGCCCTACCTTCTGAGGTAGTTTGTTTCACAGTTTTTTATCCGTTTCCAGAAAACAAAGTCCCTTGAAAGTGTTTTCCCTTATCTTGGCGAGAAGAAGAGTCGACCGTCATCCTTGAGCGAATGAATATCCCGCACGTGCCACCACACTCGCGGTGCATTATGCATGCAGTGCCTCCAACATCCCCCGAGTGGATGGAAATAAAGTTGACGCTGCTCTTTGTTTGCACTCTTAATTATTTGATTTATTTTTTTTTCTTTTTTAGCCGCCTCCCTAGTGGTTTGTTTACACCTGCAGTGATTTTTTTTTTTTGGGGGGGGGGGGTGCTGCTGAATAACAGCCGATGCAGATGGGCGGATGCTCAGGCGTTCCTCAAGGGGTGAAAAGCAATGTCAGATGCATTACGGCGGCGAGCGTCACGGTACAAAAGGGTTAAACACGAAAGGGAAACTGCAGGCGGCGTTGATTTGGGTCACATCACTTGGATGCTTAATGAGTGGCGGAAGGCTGCTCAAAACCCGTTTAATGGCGCCCATCGATTGAGAGCCTTCGTCTGGTCAAAACAACTAAATCAAACGATTTCAAGGCCGAAAATGTGTAAAATAAATAAATAAATGAAACCAACGTGTACATAAGCAAAAGAAGCCAAAATATGCAGTTATTTTAAAATAAAAATAGCAAATGCAAAAAATTCAAAAGATAAATGTTTTAAAGATGCCATAAATAAATATTTTATCATCTCAAACTATATATTTAAAAAAATAATAATAAGGCTGAATTTAATTAATTCAATTCTGTCTTTTTGTTGTATGTTGAAGACATTTTGCCTTAAGATCAGATGGAGAAAGAAAGGATCTGCTGATGATCCAAAACAGACGAGCTCATCTGTGAGGCACGATGGAAGTAATGTCATGGCTTGGGCTTGTATGGCTACTTCTGGCTCACTTGTCTTAGACTGGCCAAGTCCATCGTTGGACCTTAACCCAATCGAGCATGTATTTTACCTCCCAAAGAGGAGACTGAAGGGAGAAACCTCCAGAATCAAACAAGAACTGAAAGAGGCCGCGGTAAAGGCCTGGAAAAGGATTTCAAATGAAGAATCCGACAGTCTGGTGCAGACGATGGCTCCCAGGCTCGATGCGGTTATTGCAAGGAAGGGTCAAACCACCAAATATTAAATCAATGTCAGAATGTCCGTTCGAATACTTTTGTTCACGAGAAACGTGGGTGGCTTCAAATGAAAGGTGCTCCGTCCCGAGTTGATTGATGATCTATGTTTAGCAGTACATTCGAACATATTTGCCAGTCAAAAAAAATTTACTCCTCGCTTGTTATCTCCTGCAAATGGCGTTTGCCCCACTTGAATTCTTAGTGACTCCAATCTACTATCCTAATTTACAATTTATTGTTTGTGTGTTTTACGGTAGCAAGCGATGTATTTTTCAATAAAAGTAACAGCATGTGGTGGTGTTTTTGTGGCTTTCCAGGGCAGAAATTGTCACTTCTGTGCCAGAGAATTGACAAGAACGGGGAATCCCTGCTTTGGAATCACCACAAGCAAACTTTCCACGGTGAGTCAGTGGCCACTTTCTAAACGCGAAGCGTTAGTGTCGCTCAACATCTTGGCCCTGACATTCGTCATCTGCTTTTGAACTCCAAAAACAAACAAGTTCAAATGATTTTATATTGTTTTGTTTTTTTTTTAATCAGTTTATGGGGTGAGAAACAGCACGTATCCTCCATTAGATGTGCTTGTCACAGACTTTCATTTTTGTTTCGTACAAGCCAATTCAATTTGCTTTACGTCAATGAAAATAAGAGAGGAGAAATTAAGAAAATGTAAAAAAAAAAATGCGAAAGTAAATTCTATGTTGAAATGTCAACCACATTAAACGGTCGTTGAATTTAAAAATGATGATAAAATGCAATACAATAAATAAACATTTAAAAGCATAAAAAAACTTAATACAATTAAAAATATACACATAATCTTATGATAAAATCGGAGATTACATAAAGTGAAACAAATTAAAGGCAGATTACAATACACCACGCACAAATATGAAATCTTAACAGAATACTTTAAATGCGAATACAATATATTCTAAATAAGCATTTAAAAGACTAAAATACGAACAATGATATTATGAAATATTGCATGATAAAAAGTAAGAGAAAAACAAGGAAAGCAAATGGGGATACCATTAAAAATAAAATTAAAATATTTGGGAAAATCAAAATACAACAAAAATGTAAACGTGAAACTTAACACAATTTGGAAAACTAGTTAAAATAACCAATATAATTAAATCCCAAAACTCTAAAATCTAGATTATATGACCGCAATAAAAAAATATGTCACACGAGTTGAAATAAAAGTAAAATTTACAGATACAAAACTGTCATTGAACATTACATTACATGAGGTACTGGACACAAATATAGTGCCACAAAATTCCAATAAAATTAAATGATAGAAACAAAATTTAAAACACAGTACATCGTAAAACTTAGTATAACAATTTTAAAATATTAATAGCCACAGGAAAATAAATTTATTTTACTATTTATTTTAAATTTATAAAAAGTGTACAAGACGATCGATCAAGAGAATCTTTTTAAATACAGGACAAAAATAAGGCCTAATAATTCACAAACTCTCAATTAAAAAGTCCGATTTACTCTCAATTCCAAAGTTTTGCTTTTCCCTGTTTTTACAAACGCGTCTCAACTTTAAAGTTCTGTCACCGTTGCCACACTTCTGTCCCCGATGACGCGTTCACGGACATGCAACAAGTGCGCCACTTCCCTCATCTCCTGCCGACGACGAAAACGTGCATCTAGTTTGACAGCAAACACGACCACGATTAACCAACCATCTTGTCACGAATTCAAGTCGATATAAAAAAGCCTCGAATTTGCTGTCCACGACCCCCCCCGCCCCCCCCCCTACACACCTCCACGCACACACAAAGGTTTATGCCATCGTTCAGTCTCCTTATGTAGACTTTCGACGTCTTGACTCCGAGCCACTTCTCAGAAGCTCCGCGGATAGGCGGGGCTCAGAGACGTGTGACGTCAACAAACTTTGGACTCCACCAACCTTGCGGGGGGAATCCGTGCTAGCGTGCTTGCCCCGCTTTGGTTACTTTATCACAACAGCGTGGATTTAAATCGATTTAGACATCAAGTCGGTGCTTCAGAGAGACGCAGGAATGTATTTGGTGTGAAAAGATGGAAGGGAATAGTTAGAGAATGGAGAGTTGAAGCCGGAGGGGGACGAGCGGCCTCTCCCCCCCTGGCCGGAGACGTTGGTACGGTCCCGGGCTCAAATTCCGAGAATTGAGCTGGTCTGATTCTTAGAACTGGGCTTCTTAGAAGTGGTGATGCAAGAAGTTTCTAGGAAAGCGCTACCAGGTGATTTTTCAAAAAATTCATTTTTTTACATTATCCCTCCCCTTGTCCGCTTCTCTTCCCTCTCATCTTCCCTTGTAATTATTTAGCGGCCAACTTGTTGTGTCGCTAATGTCATCGTTTTTGGAGTGTGAATTTGTCTATGTGCGCGTACTTGTGTGACGGCGGCGGCGGCTCCCCGGCTGTCAGACAACCGAGACGCCAGAACCTTCTTTCCCCTCTCATCATCTCACCGCACCTTCCCATTCCCCTTCCGTCCGTCTCTTCCCGCGGCTCTCGCGCTCAAAAGCTTCCCGCTCACGCTACCACCTCCACCGCCACCCCCGGTCCTAAGCGGCTTCTGTAGCCGAGATAGGGCGCGCGTCAGGCGGCTGCAGCGAGGGCCAGAGCCGCTCCTCGCGTGCTCTCGATTGTCACACATCCCCAACTTTGATTTGGGATTTTTTTTTCAACTAAATGATGTATTCGCTACAATTTAATGTTGGGATGCGTACAGTTAACGTGCCATTGCTGTGTAAATGTGCATAATGGTGTTGTGTCGTGCGTGCGTTGCCGAAGTGGAGTTGTCAACTTGTCTCTTTACGTTTGTGCAAAGTGGGGCTGCGTGTGCACGTTGCATGCTTTTTTTAATAACGTTGTTGTGCAAGTGTTGCACCGCTAAAAGAGATTGAATTTGCAGCCAAGTATGCATGGTGGAAAACTAGTGCAGAAATTACAGTAAATGAAGTACAGCAAAATCCGATGAATTGAATGTGGAAAAAGTGCATGGAGGGGGGGAGAATGTAGTTTAAGTTTAAACCGTCAACAAAACATCACTGGAACATGCGTCTTATTTTAAAGTGTTAAATCTCGGGTTTTCCACTTATGAAAAGCTTTTGAATGGATTCTGGTGCATGGTCAAAAGAGTAAAAATGCGTTATAAAAGTTGCTTTTTATTAAGCAAATGTAAATTGTTTGTGATGCATGTGCATGTTTTAAAACGTTTCCTATTTGTCCTTTTTTAAATTGTTTAAACAAGTTTTATTTATTACATAGTTCTGTCACGCACTTTTTGCCGTGCACAGCCCAATCGTTTTCGCGCTGTGCACTACCCCCCCCCCTTATTGTAATTCATTTAAATAATTTGTTGTCCTCTTCTTGTCAACCCGCGTTTCCCTCAAAGCTGCGGTTCAGAAGGGGGGAGAAAAAAAGTGGGTGTCAAAATTTAAATGTCCCAAACCGGCGTTGTAGTCGGCTAAATTGCGCCCTCTAATGGCACTCGGGTGAAATGCAACGGGCGCCTTCAAAATTACATGCAACTAATGTACAAATGTACAATTTTTTTTTTGTGTGTGGGTCCCCCTCATCCCTCCAGAAGTCGGCAGGATGTCTTGCTTGACCGACAGCTGCATCCAGTTCACGCGTCACGCCAGCGACGTCTTGCTCAATCTGAACCGCCTCCGCAGCCGGGACATCCTCACCGACGTTACCATCCTGGTCAGCAGGCAGGCACAAAAGACCGTCCTCATGGCTTGCAGGTATGTATTTCACTTTTTTTTAAAATGTATCCATCCCTGGAGGGGTCTTAAGCAAGATGGCAAAAGGAGAACAGTACATACAGAATGGTTGTAGCTGTCCCACAGCTCAACAGGAGCTCATTTTGTCATTGCCTACCACACAGCGGGCTCTTCTACACCATCTTCACTGACTCGCACAAGTGCAACCTCAACGCCATCAGCCTGGACCCCAAGGTGGACCCGGAGGGCTTTGCCATCCTGCTGGAGTTCATGTACACCTCCAGGCTGGCTCTCAGGGAGAGTCTGATCATGGCCATTATGAACACTGCCGTCTACCTGCAGATGGACCACGTGGTGGACACCTGCCACCGCTTCATCAAGTCCAGGTTGGTCACGCGATCGCTGCGAGAAGGGGCTCTGATTCAGTTCCGGCAAGTGGCCACGCGGAAGACCTGTCTTTCAGGAACTTTAGTGGAGTGTGTTCCGCCCTGGGTTAGATCTTGATTGGGTTCCAGCTGCTCCTCAGGGACGCAAACAAATATTGGTTC